CACGCTGCGCGCAACCGCAAGCGCCGTGGCGCAGGTGTCACGGCTGGCGGCGGCGGCCGTGACCCGTACGACCGTGTGCTGGCCGCGCTCAGCGACGCAGAGCAGATCATGCGCACGTTGGTCGACGAAAACGCCGCTGCCCTGCGCCAGAACCACAGCGAGCGCTACCAGACGGCCGGCACGGAGCTCCGCCGTGCGCACGAGGTGATCCTGTACCGCCTCCTTGCCGTTCGCATCGCCCGCAATGTCCGACTCGCCGAGGAGGTCGAGGCCAAGGCCAAGAAGCGCGACGCCAAGGCAGCTGCGATCTACGAGCGCCGCAGGGCGAGGCGCAGCGGCAGTGTCGCAGCTGTCACGCAGAAAGCCAAGGCGCCCAAGCGCGCGCGCAAGGACTGGGTCGCAAAACGGCACTCGAAACGCGCCCTGCGCAGCCCCCGTCCAGCCCGCAGCGGCACCAGCCGCGAGCGAATCGTGGCGCGCTCGGCTGCCGAGGAGCGTGCACGCGCCTGTGTTGAGGCACGTGCGGACCAGCGCCGTCTGCGCATTATTCCCGGCATCAACAAACTCCTCGACGGCGTTACCTCGAGTCTGGATGTAATTGGCGGCCTCGTGATTGTCGAGGGCGAGCCCGATTTGTCCAGTCTTGTGGAGGCAAAGCGACACTGGTACAGTGCGCAGCAGGTCCTCCACCTCGCGCTTGCATTCTCACAGCACGGCCTCAACGCACACGCGCGTCTGCTTCTGCAGCGCGGCGAACTCTACCTGCGGCAGGCGGCGCAGACTCTGGAGCTGGCGGACGGCGCGGAAGAGGAGGACAAGCACTTTAGTCCACACCTCCTCACCTCTGATGCGATTGCTAGCCAGAACGCTGTCGTGACCGATGTGCTGCGCAGTGTCGAAAAGTCGCTCATTCACAACGGCGTGGGCGACGCTGCCTCGCTGGAGGCGTCTCGTGGTGGACGCGTGCTGCTTGGTGCGGCGCAGCGCCATGTCGCGTTCGAAGAAGCTGACCTTGAACTGGCTGCTCAGGTATCCCGTGAGCATGTTGAAGAGACACACAAAACTGCTGCTGGCACTGCCGCTGCCACTGCCGCAGCCACTGATGCTGATGCTATGCAGCTTGACACTGACGCGGCGCCGCGCGCAGCTCCTGCCTCCACATCTGCAGACTATGCCTGTGACTCTGATTCTGACTCGGGTGATGACGAGTTCACGGATGCCGCGTACGATCCCCGCAACGCCGCGCTTGAAGAGGAAGAGCTGGCAACTGAGCGCGCCCGCCGTGCAGGATGGTTCAGCAGCTGGTTCTCGCGTTCATAGAGATATGCATAATTATGCGATAGTGCATGTGTATGCATTACATACGTGGCACAGCCCGTCTCTCGGCCGTGTTTGCTACCACCACCCGAGAGCCGAGACCATCGGCCGACTCTCCCTCCACTCAAACGCGACGCGCTAGACGCGAGCAGATGGCTATACTCACGGACGTGTCGCACGCAAGCGGCGCGGACGGTAGCTCACACATGAGCCGCGAAAGTGTCGAGTCTCTACAGACTCATGCACTGCCTGTACAGGCACAGTCCTTTGCTGTTGGTGACCACGCGTCCCACTACCACGCAGTCGACGCGCTCTCTTCTAACGTGCTGCCGGCCCAGCGCGAGCGCGTATCGCCCTCTGACGCGCAGCACAAGGCACCGTCAACAAAACGACGCAAAATCAACACGTGTTTTCCATGCAAGCAGCGGAAAGTCAAGTGCGACCGTCAGCATCCCTACTGTGGCCAGTGCCAGAAGCACCGTATCCCGGCGGAACGCTGTGTGTGGTCGTCAGATGTTGGCGTTGCTGACATGCACGCATCCTTGGAGTTTACCAAGCCAGATACCCATGCGTCCATCGGCCTCGCTGGCGAGTGGTCTGCACAGGGTGCAGAACTCGGCCTCGATAATGACGCACGTGCCGTCATCGAGCGGATCAGCCACCTCGAGCAGCGCCTGTCCAGTGCAACGCCTTCGCAGCCTGCCCACGATATTGCAGGCACAAGCACCGGCCAGGCACAGATTGACCCGTTGCTGCTTGCAGGCACGACGCTGTCCCTCGGCGACGTGAATGCAGAACGCCAGGGTGCGGCGCTCCCACAGGACACGACAGTCGCCGCCGAGCTTGCCTTCTGGCGCTCCAAGATGGAGCAGCACCAGCGTCCATCACATGGCGACAGTGCGCAGATGGCACAGATGCAGGCCGAGCAGAACATCGCGGCAGATGCGCTCGCCATGTTTGCCCGCCACAACCAGCACACTGCCCTCTCGAGCGACCAGGCCCTTGGTCGCGTAGGCAGCACCAGCGATACGCGCGCTGGCCTGCTGGGGACTGTATTTGACTCGGCGTTCGCGATCGCAGGCAGCTCGCCCGCGACTGTGCGCATGCGCAGCGCGCTCGAGCTCCTGCCTACAAACCAACAAATTGACTACTTGCTCAAGACGCTCCAAACGGTGGATCTGCATCTTTTCTGCGGTGTCTCATGGCGCCTGGTGCGCATGCAACTCGCGACACTTCGTCAGCAGCTTGCCGGATGGAACCGCATTCACACCAGCGTTCCGGAACACATTGACGGTTCGTTCCTTGCCTTGCTGCTCGCGCTGTTGGGAATTGCGGCTCACTATGTGGAGTCACGTTTCTTTATCGAGCAGGGCCTGTGTACCTCGACCGATCAGATTGGGTCATATGTGGAGTCTTGGATCGATGCAGCGCAGTCGATGCTGGCTCTGGATGACTTTGTGAACAAGACGAATTGGAACCACTTGGCCGCGCTCTACTATGTGCTTGAACACCAGGGCGCAAGAGGCCGCACTACGGCCTGTGCTTCGATGCTCGCAATGCTGCTGCGTCTCGCAGAGCTTCAGGGATACCACCGCCTTGGCTCAGCCAAGGACGACGAGGAGCACTGGCGGGAGTCGCTTGCGAGTAAACAGGTTCGTGTTTCGTCTGTGGCTGCGTTCCGCTCTGCAATCGGGTCCACGCCGTCGCTCCCCGACCGTTCGCACCTTGTGCGTGAGGCAGCTCGCCGTCTTTGGTGCAAAATTGCAAGCAAGTCGATGCTTCTCGGAACAATGCTTCCTGCTGCGCAAAGCATCGATCCGGAACGTGTCACGACTAGGCCCCCTCTTAATGTGGACGAAGAGGACCTCCCTGATGGCGAAACACATGTGCTTCCTCAAATTAAGGAAGATGGCCGCGCGACAATGAACAACCTCGCGCCGCCTGTCTATGCCTTCGCGGACATTGCGCGGCAATGGAGCGATGCTAATGCGCGTGGCACTCCGTCGTACAATGATGTGCTTAGCTTTGATGGAAAGTACAGGGCGCTGCTCGCTGATCTGCCAAGCTACTTGCGCCCCGATCCTGCTCTCGAGCAAATGCCCGAAGTACGTCAGGAGCAGGCCCACCGGCCTTACCTTGCTATGCAACGCCTTGTAATCTTTGAAATGGTCAATCACGGTCTCTTTATGCTTCACCGGTGCTACCTCTGCCTCGGCCAACGCGACGAAAAATACGCATTCTCGGCACGCGCTGCTCTTGATGCGGCACGCACGATTGTATCCTGTCGGCAGCAGATTGACAATGTGCACCCGGCTGTGCAGCGCCACTGGGTGTTTAGTCATCACTTGTTCCAGGCGGCCATTGTCCTTGCACTCCAGCTCCTCGAGTTCTCGGGCAAGGGACAGGGCGGCTCGCAGGTTGCGCAGCAGCTGCGCGAAGACATTGGCTTGATCACCAACTACCTGTTGGAAGCCAACTCGCCCGCAAATGGCTCGCTTAGTGCAAATGCTCCTCAGGGTCGCAAAGTGGCGTTCAAGTTGCTCGAGCTTATGCTTGCGGAGGAGGCCGATCGCCGCCAGCGCTCTGACGGTGACAAGTCTGACAGCCGTTCCAAGGTGACTGACTCCGCGTTCTCTGGCAGCGGCGTGAGCAGCATCTCGATGGATGGCAGTAACGACAATATCTTCCAGCTTACCAATGCTGCCTCGTCGGATCCAGTCGCAGAATCGGCTGCTACTTTTATGCAGCAGCTGCTTGACCCGCAGTTTGCCACTGCGGAGGCTTGCGCTGAGTTCTTTGCGTCTCTTGATGAGCTTACAGCACCGATTTACTAGCAAGTTGCGACAGTATGTTTTAGTACAAGTAAGATCTCTTTCCAATCGGCTGCGAGAATAACGTCCCCCTTTTGCCCAGACAGCCACTGCTCCACACTCACCGTCGAAATGCCCACATTGTGGAGCCGTTGTTGGTGCTGCATACCAATTAGGATACCAATATGAGCATCAAGGATGCACATGATATCAGTCATACTGTCACCAACGTAGACTGTTGTATCATCCTTGATAGTCTTGAAGTGCGCTAGTTTGTGTTGAGCCGTGCGCATAGTATCGCCGCTGGGGCCGATGATGCGGCCTGTGGACGCATCGATCTCGTTTGAAATAACATGGATGCACGACTTTCCAAGCGCATACTCGATGAATTTCCGCGACCAGTTGACACTTAGGATATAGGCTTGACAGTTATTGCAGATCCATTCGTGTGCGGAATCCCATCCTGGACGAAACGACACGAGCTTCGCACGCTCCTCCAGATCCTTGTCGGTAATTCCACGGAACAGCCCGCCATCTGCAATTCGATCAAGACTGCAAAGTTCAACAGGGTCAATTCGCGCCAAATTTGAGTAAAGTTCGTCGATATTGGATGGCTCCCGCACAGATGCGGCATGGAGTCGGTAATCATGCAGGTAAGCATCAGTGTAGTAGTCAAACGTAGGTCCCTGGCATGGTTCGTCTGCAAGTGTCGAAAGAGTATCATACAAAGTGATTGTCTCGTCCCAATCCAGAACGACACGCATGCTAGCAGAATGTAAAGAGGTCTGTGCACAATTATCGCCCGCAGTGCTTATGTGCACGTTATAGTATATAAACAAAACTTCGCCACCTTCACCACAACAGCGCTTGTCTAGTCCAATAGTTTAGTGGTTATGACGCATCCTTCACACGGATGAGATCCCGGTTCGATTCCGGGTTGGACTACAGCGACTGTTCGAGTCCAATAGTTTAGTGGTTATGACGCATCCTTCACACGGATGAGATCCCGGTTCGATTCCGGGTTGGACTACGCTTTTTGTTCCGCGCAATACTTTTGGGCTCTCGAAGCCATACTAGTGTTGGTCAGCCTGAACTTGTTTTTCTTTTTCGTGAATCACACAGGCTAATATGCTTTCTTTATTGATAGTTACACTACAGATATTTACAATGGATGGATGTACAATGCGGGTCAATCAGGCATGTTTATATGTATGCCCACCGTTCTTGATATAAAGGAACACTTCATCATCCTCTGGAGTGTCCGGGTGCATGGCGATCTTTCCTTGGTCAAACATGTCCTTGAGCGAAATAGGAGCCTCCGGGTCATCCTTGCCTTCATTCGCACGAGGACGCCAGGCACCACCAAGACTGGCACCAATTAATGTAGGGACGAGGGCCATAAGACTGTGCGGGTGTACGTCCTTGTCCTTCATCTGCTGCGACTTGGTCTTGAGCACCATGTTACTGGCACGCAGACGACCTCCACGGATGCGCGAGAAGTGATTCAGACGCTCGGCGACGGCACCGATAGCTGGCTCGTTCCATTCAAGCACCGGTGCATTCTTCTCCATATCGCGTGGCTGGAGCGGCGCATTTGGATCACGCATGAGATGCATGGCAATAAGCGGGCGCTCCACCCATTCAACAGGGATAAGACGAGTAAGCACACCGAGAGGCCATGATACAAGACCAGCAATAATCGAAATGCCCCAGTCGCGTCCATTAATCGCTTGGACGTTGAATGCATGTCCACCCTTGAAGATGATGAGAACCTGGGCTGCGGCCTCAATGCAGATGATCAGAATGAACCAAAGGTTCTTGTGCATTCCATGGAAGATGTTGAGTCCAGTATCGAGACGACGAGCGTTGATCTGATTGAACAATTGACACCACACGAAAACGTTGAAGATGAGGGCGCTCTTCTCAACGTTGTCGTGAACTTCACCTTCTTGGCCAGCCTTGGCCATATTCAAAATGTCTCCACCCCTGAAAACAAGGACAAGGACGAGAATAATCTGGTAGATCGACTGGATAATAATGTGCATCCACATGCGAGTAGTGACCAGTGCCGCGTTCACGTGTCCTGGCTTCCGGTCAAGCATGCTTTCGTCAGCTGGATCAGTAGCCAGAGCAAGAGCTGCGAGTGTGTCCATAATGAGGTTGAGCCAGAGCAGCTGCACTGCAGTAAGCACTGACTTTTCTTCATCAGACGACACTGCGGAAATAAACGTGACCACCACAGCGACGATGTTGACCGTAAACTGGAACTGCAAGAACTTGCGCACGGCGTCGTTCACACAGCGACCCCACATGATGGCACGCACGATACTCGAAAAGTTGTCGTCAAGCAAGATAATGTCACTTGCCTCCTTTGCGACTTCCGAACCAGCGATACCCATCGAGAAACCAACATTAGCGGCCTTGAGAGCGGGACCATCGTTCGTACCGTCACCAGTAACTGCCACGATGTCTCCCATGCTCTTGAGCTTCTCTGTGAGCTTCTTCTTGTCCTCGGGACTAGAACGCGCAAGCACTTGGAGACGGGGTGCAACGTACGTCAGGTCCTCGTCAGAAAGACGACGGAAGAATGGTCCCTCGATGACAATGCCGCCCGGTGTGTAAATGCCACACTGCTTGGCGATTGACTTGGCTGTGATGATATTGTCACCTGTGCACATCTTGACTTGCACACCGGCGCGACCACACGCACGGACGGCCTCAGCGACACCAGGCCGGAGTGGGTCCTCAATAGCAGTAATCGTGATCAGCGTAAGTTCCTGTGCGAGGTATGCGTAGTCAACTTCGCCTTCATTCACAAGCGGCGCATCAGGCGGCGGCCACTGCGAAAAGTCGCGGAAGCACAGCGAGATGGTACGAAGCGACTGGTTGGCGTAGCCCGAGATAACTTCGCCCATGTTTGCCTTGTCTTCCTTGGTAAGAGGCTCAGTCTCCAGCTCGGCGCTGCTGCCAAGGGTGACCACCGATGTGCACTGTCCAAGCAGTACCTCACTGGCACCCTTGGAGAAGAAGCGGAATTTGCCATTGGGCTGCTCAATGACAATACCCATAGCCTTGCGCGCCGAACTAAACGGAACCAGCTGGACAATCTTGGCAGAATCACGAACAGTCTTGTAGTTCTCCCAGCCAAGCTTGCGGGCCATGTACAGCAGTGCAGTCTCGGTCTTGGATCCCATAAAAGCATCGGTCTCGTGCGCGGGCTCCTCCTTTGGCTTCTCGCGAAGAAAGGGAAGGTACTTGTCCAGGCCAAGGAAGTTCGTAGGAACCTTCTCGACTGCAGGAACGTGCTCGGACTTGTTGTCCGGAACAAATGCGGTCGAGTTGATGCAGATCGAGTCATTGAGCAGCTTCTGCAGGGGTTCAGGAAGCGCCTCCGGGATGTCTTGGAGACGCGACAGATTGCCCTGCTCGTGATCACCACCGTCGATCTCGAACTTGACCGCATCCTGGAAGCGCCAGTCCTTGCCGATGCATCCTGCGACGACATTCATATTGTTTTGCGTCAGTGTACCGGTTTTGTCCGTGCAGATAACGGTAGCATTCGCCATGGTCTCACAAGAACTAAGCACACGCACAAGCAAATTGCTGTTTGACATGCGACGTGTAGCAAATGCTAATGCGAGCGTGACGGCAAGTGGCAAACCCTCTGGCACAGCAACAACAACAATCGTAACGGAAATGATTAGAATGTTGATGAAGCGATCAGCATAATCTTCACTATTCCCCGATCTTGATGAATTGGGGAAATCTGCTGCCTCGCTTCCTGAGCCGCTCTTGTCACGGCCGAGCTGGACAAAGAAGCGGATCATCAGCGCAACAAACAGAACGAGACCAGCGGCAGAACCAAGTTTAGCAATTACATCAGCAAGCATGTTGAGCTTGGCTTGAAGGGGTGTGTTCTCCGGCTCTTGACGAAGAGACATCATCAACTTGCCATTGAAACTCAAAGGGCCCACAGCAGTGACGAGGAAGTCACCGACGCCCTCGACAACCTTCGCACCCGAGATCATAAAGCAACTGCGGTTCTTCTTCTTTGTAGGGTTCAGCGAGTCCTTTTCGATCATTTGCAGCGCATCATCATAGGTGTACTTGACAATCATATCAGATTCACCGGTAACACTGGATTCATCGCATTTAACATTGTGTCCACGAACAAGGACGCCATCGAATGCCAAAATCTCTCCGGGCTCGAAACGCACAACATCGCCAACAACAACATCGTGTACATCCAGGCGAATTTCAGAACCGTTACGGATCACGGTGACATCACGAGCTTCCTTCTTGGCGTCCAACAGACGGAACTGTCTCTCCTTCTGCCAGTCATTCAGCGAACCAACAAGGTCGACAATAACAACAGCCACCATGATAGCAACACCCTCAACATAATTAACCTTGGCGGCATCACAGGTGGTGCGACCTGGCGGTGGATCATCGCATGGCACTTGCTCTGGCTCACGACCAAAGTCCGTGTAGAGGCCTAGGGAGAGGGACACAATAGCAGCAACAATCAGCAAAATCAGGATCTTGTCCTGCAGGGCAATCCACATTAGCAGCAACAGGTTCTTGGGCTTGCGCGCAGGAAGGACATTGCTGCCGTAGACATGGATGCGTTCATCAACCGTACCAAAGTTCTTGGTACTGTTGCGAGCTGCGCCATCGTCATCGTCTGTGGTGATACCGCGCTCGGCATCAGTACCGAGGCCTTCAGTGAGTCCGTTGATGCCTCCCATCTCACGAAGCATTTCGATGTTCTCAGGATCGACGAGATCACAAAGCTGTCCGGGCTTGAACTTGAATGGAGTAGGATCACGGCCTAGCTGCTGCTTCAGCTGTGCCTTGATCTTCAGCTGGAACTGCTCATCGGATCGGCCTTTGAACCACGTCATAAAGTGGTGATATCTTGTGCGCCAGGTGCTTTTCTCGTTCGGGTCCTCTTCATCGACTTTGAGTGCTTCCTTCGTCTGCGGGATCTTGGAGGCGTCATCGTATTGCGTCCGCTCCTTCAGATCAGATGCGTTGTCGACAGTGCCACCATACGTCGACAACTGCTGCTTCTCAGAGAGTGCAGTCTCGCTGCTCGGCGCATGTGCGGTAGGGATGCTCGGTGTGAATTGCTCATCCTTGGGTTCCAACGACGATCCCGTCGCTTGGCCCAAAAAATATAGGTCGTTGTTGATTGGGGGGGCTGCATGGGGAGCAGTAGCCTCTGTCGCAGGCGACCTGCCCTCACTAGCCGTATGGCTGGTCTCAGTGGTCATATGTAGCGCTCTTTGGAACACTAAATGCACTGGGAGATCTGCCTAATACGACGGAGACAGTGATAAACTTGATGTGTTTAGTTGCCACTGTGCCGCGCCCGCACGTATCACGTGTACGGTGATCTCGATATGGCCGCGCTTGGCACTACGATATATTACGTTTCACTCACGCGCTTACAAATTGTATTGGTTACTATGTAAGGCTGTGTGCACAGCTATGCAATAAGTATGCATTTTGCGGCCTTATAGCCCATGCGAGCGAAGTATGCCCGATTAGCCTTGACTTACCCAACCAACCCTGACCGCCCCATTGGACCCAGCTGTGCACACTTGCACCGATAGATTGAATAACGTGCACAGCAAGTGGTGCATTCGCAATATCATGAAGCATATTTTGGGCACGAATTGGCAGTGCCAGCTCCGATGCCAATGCAAGTTCATGTCAGAAATAGCGTGCGTACCTGCAGCACCGTATGCAAAGCCGAGGCGCAGTCGGACTTCGTACCATTCAGGCTTTCATTAGTAAAACAAAACGCACCCCATGCTCGCCTTTCCATTCAGCGGCCACACAGGCAGCATCAGCGAGCGTAATAGCTCTGTGTGCCATTGGGATCGGATCCACAATGTTCCCCGTTGTAGGGAGTGCCTTGAGAATAGGTGTAAGCATAG